CTCCACCGGACAGTGTTCCCATAGAGTTGCTGTTGGGTGCTGGAATGAGTGTTCCAGCACTTGCCAGTAGGCTATGTCCTGGGTCCATTTCATGCCATGAACAGTCCCAGGGGTGTTAGAGGGGGCACTACAGCATGAAAATTAACTGTACACAGGATTTGTTTAAAACAATGTGTACTGCCCAATGGATAAAAGGTCTGCTATGGATTTTGAAGGGGACCCCCATGGCCTTTATTTGCATTGGTACATGTCCCAGTAAATATCTGATGTTCAGCCGAGACAAGAAACCAAATGCAGTTAGTAAAGCTTAACATTAGCCAGTTGATCACTTTCAGCTCATCTTCCCAATCCACAGAAGACTTCAAAGCCATTAACTTTTACCAGGGAGTGACAAATACTGTTTCTCTTCTCTACAAGTCTAAAAAACAGCCAAATTAAGTAAATTTACCCCAATTCGCTGAAATACATGTGAGGACCTGTTCCTGCTCAGCCAACACAGCCTAGTGACTGAACATACTTTAGAGAAGTACACTGCTCATCTCCCCAGAACTGGGGCATCACTGAGCTAAGAAAGTCAATAAGAAAGTCCCCCCCCCCCCCCCGTCCCCCCCATTGTTCTTCTGTCCTGTAAAATAAGCTCCCAGTAACATTTATTTTGCAGAAATAGGCCGAGCTTCACCCTGTACAGGACTGTGCACCAAAATAGGATATGGCCCTAGAGTCCCTGCACATGTGCCTTCTTCACAACCCTGTCAGTTGACTATGCCTTCCTTTTTTTGGGCCTACAGAGATCAACAGAAGAGGGCTGTGGAAGTAGAAGGAACCTCATGTGCTGGGCCACCACTTTTCTAAGTCTACACTAACCACCAAATACAAATGTGGTACCCTGCAGCAAAAGAGATTCTTCCATTCAGTAGTCAATCACAGGCAACCGTGTATGTAGAAGGAATAAGCCACGAGTGACTATAAAGTGACCTGACTACAGACCTTAGTCATGTACAATATACCCCCACAATAAGATTTGTGTATATTTTAAACACTTCACTCACTAGTTGGCCTCAGTTGGATCCATACATTGGAGACTAGTCCAGGCCCCCCCCAGCCAGAATGTTTTGTCCAACCCACAGCCAGGTGCCTAGTGGAGATGTTCCTCACTCCTGTAAAACCCTTTTTTAATATGGCGATTGACCATCACAACTGGACAGTGACAACCTTTCCCATTTACTGGGCACAGGGACATTAGTGAGTGTTCCAACTGCATTATGAGGACCATCAGATTTTTAGTTTTGGCTGGAGAGCAAATTTAGTCATCAGGGCTCCATTACATGATTGACTGGGCTGCAACTATACAAGAGGAAGGTTAACAGCTGCCTATAGCGACCACGTTTGACCCCCATCATATGTTGCTGAACAGATTAAATTTTTCTGCAGATTTAGCTACTCTCCCGTTAAGCCACAAAAATGATATTTTACAGCCATTTCATTAATAAAAGTGAGACACAAAATGTAGAAAATGTTTTTATTTAAGAATCTTATTTAAGCATTTGTATTTTTCATGTTAGAAGTTTGTCTCCTGCGATGGAGCCACAGGCCTACAACAGTGACAGCCACCAAGCCAATAACTCCAGCAGTTGCTAGCGCTCTAGCCAGGTCCAGAGTGGAGTACTGCGAGGGATCAGCACCTAAGACAATGAGAAATGTTACAAGTCTGGAATCACAACTGGAGACCAAACAAATCCAACATCATGAAGACATTACCTTCCAGTTTTAGCATTTCTTCATCATCCACAGGAACAAATGCAACAGGTCCTTCAGATGTCACCGTGTTCTTCAGAGACAGCAGCTCCTGCTCTTCAGCCATTCTCCCTAAAAATAGCAATTTTAGGCTTAGTTTCCATATTTGATTTTCCTAAATCAAGCCAACAATGGTCCCTTATGTAAGGAACAGGCATGAAACCCCCACAAGTCACACCACCAGTCAGTCTGAGACCTTATACAATACTCACTTCTCCTTCCACCACAAGAGACCACACAGCTGTCCATGTTAGATGGCACACATACGGAAGCACTGCAGTGAAAGTAGACCTGCAGACAAGTTTATACAGTTACAATACAGCATACTACCGGCATAAAAAGCGAGAGGTTGTATTAGGTTTACCAGGCCTCCAAGGGCAAGCTGGGTGTTGGCGTCTACAAATGTGAAGGTGTTGACAAGGAAGCGCTTGTAGTAGTTGGGTAGAGGTATAGCTGGTGAAGGAGCTCCAACAGGAATCAGGCTGCTCACATAGTTGTCTCCAGAAAAAGGGCAACTGAAACCAACAAGAGACATTAGAGTTGTGATCGGCACCAAAATGTATACTAGATTACTAGCTACAGATCATTCACCTTTCATACAAGATGGGCCATTGAGGAAGGAGTGTAGGATCAGCAGAGTTGGTGGCCCAGCAGTCATTTAAGACTAGGACTAGGTTTGGGTCTGTTCTACGGATGATGCGGACCTCCAGGTAGACCGGTTCCCTGAGCACTCTGACCAGAGGATACTCATCTTCAGCATAGTAAGCTTCATAGCCAAGATCTGCATTACATAGAGAAGTTACATCACTCACTCTGCAAGTTTTCATTTCTAGTTATAAT